TGTTGCTCTGCAGGAAATTTATGTTAGCAAATGCGTAAAAAATGCTTCATTGTATTCATTGTATGTGACATACTGTCCTTTGAAAGCCTGCACAATCTCACAGCCACTACCGTGGTCACACTGGGATAAAGCAGCACACTCAGAGCCATGTAATTCAATTTGCACACCACATGGCAAGACGTTTGCAGCTGCAGCCAAAAATACTTCAGCTTTATACGCAGAAAACTGCAAAGTATTTCTCCAAGTCTTAAAAAATGAACAACACCGACTTAATGTAACACTACAGGTTCGTTGTTAATAAAGAAACTGTTAGTGGATCAAAGTAACAGATAAAAGAGCCTTTGATGTGTTTAAAGTCTGCCTGTAAAGTATAAAACCCGTATGATCGGAATACTTTAGTAAAAGGCTGCAAGGAAACCAGCTGATAGGGCGACTGCCAGCACCTACATGGAAAATCTGAAGCAAAAGTTTGTAAAGAGAATATCAAAGACGTCTCTAATATGCTGCTCATCAGAGTGATTTTTTTCTTATATAACGCACAGATTTCTTGCTCAGTTGAACTGTTACAGCTGGCACGACTTCTGATCAGTTAAAAACGACCGATCTGAGCTGGAACGATTGGAACAGCAGCAAACTTCCACCGATCTTCTGGCACCTGCAGTTTCAGCGCGTTTGTGCCACAGAAGCAAAGAAGGCGTAACAGACAGCAAGAATGAAAGTTGTTGTGTGATGATTGCCCCGGTAACCATGGTATTTGCATTCATGCACTTAGAGTTAATAAATCCCAGCAGCTTTTTACAGGACGGAGCGGTGGTTCGGTGCCTGGATCATTTCAGCCTCCTTACATTTGCCATCCTTAAAAAATATTTGCAGCCGGGACAAATTCAACTATATGTCAGTTTAAAAAAATCTTCTTTAAGAGACAACTTTACTTTTACAGCTTTTCCTTCATACATCTGCTGCCCATCTCTCCTCCGCATCACCTCTTTATTTGGAGACAGAATAACAACCTGTCTCTTTTTAAAACACAGACGCCACATGTATTGTTAACATCTCTCTGCGTCTTCTCGCTGCTCCTCTCGTTCCTTTTTGCTATCTGACCCAGTGACAACCCCGATCGAAATGTGCAGGCGAAAAGGAAACATGAAAGGAGAAGTGAGTGATACCTATAAAAACTAACAGAAACACCGGACGAGATTGGTTCTTTCCATTATGCGCGTAAACCCATTAAAGCCCAGATGTTGACCCGTGCGTGACACACTTTGAATACACAGCGTGTCAATCAGAGGTGCCAGTGAATGCCAAGCAGCGCACGGAAAGAAACTCTGAATCTCAGATTTTACTTCCAATTTATGATGGGGAAGTAAGATCTGGGCCCTAAAGCATCCTAGTAAAGTGAAATCTGGTGGAGCGAGCTGATCCCTGCAGAGGCCGCCTGGTCACACAACCTGAATCATAGAATAATGCCCCTTAATGACACAAGCTGCTCTTGTCTTTCCAGTGGGGCCTGAAATAAAGTGACGCAGGTCAGATAATCCTGTTCTCCAAAATAAGCCCACCAGCACATGAGATTTGTTTAGTTACGCTGACACTTTGCAGCTATTCTGGTGCTTAATGAGCTAATGTAATGACAGCTACAGATCTGTTCATTACTGCAGCGGAAACAGTGACACTGAAAGGATAAGAAAAACCTACACATGCTTTTGAATAAGATTCTGAATATTTAACATGGAAAAGAAAAGCTTTTCTTGTGCAGTAACTTCCCGGAGTGCAAATATTCTTTGACTGGGCCAGCTGTTCCCATGTGATTCCTAGACTACATTAACTGTTTCCTGGGTAATCTGTATAAAACTATCATAAAAAAATCAACCAGCAAGAAATCTATCAGGATGTTTAATCAATTTGCAGGTTGGAGCGTGCATTTCAAACAACTTATAGAGTCGAGTGACCGCTACTGTTTCCTGCAAAAACTATTCCAGTGTCAGTGGCTGCATATCCTCCAGTGTCAAGTGTTATTCTAAGACCTGTTTCCCTCATCATAAAAAAAAAAGAAGCACTCGATCTTTGACTCGCACACAAAAACAGCCCCGCGTTGACCTTGAGCTACAAAAAGCCTTGAGACGTCGCTCCCTCTCTACCAAAAGAAAAGATCTTCAGTCTGTCATCATTTGGACACAAATTAGAGGACACGCTCCATTAGGCTCAAATGAGGGGAGGGGTGAAAGGGATGAAACGTCACCGAGCGAGGACAGAATGTGAAACGCAGACAGACACGGGGCAGACGTAGACGCAGCAAAAACAGAAATAAAAGCAAACAGCAAAAAGCGTTGGCAGTCGGTTCTGATTTTGTTCACTGGAAAACAAATGCATTAATTGCTACAGTTCAGCGATTTCTTTCATTATCTCGAACCCTAAAAAGTACAACCGTAGGAGCCACGAACATCTCACAGCACTTAAACAAAAACACACACATGGCTACGAGCGCTGCCAAAGAAGAAACCAGACAATTCGAACCACATGAGGACCGATATGAAGCCACATACGCGGACACACACTGTAGCAGAAACGCTGGAGATAAATCAGCTTCACTGTTCAGGATTCCACCGCGTCATGTGGAGTAGGCCCCGGGGAGGAGGTGGTGCTCCATATGTGTGATGCTCTCGCTGTGATTTTTTAGTTATTCCTCTTTCCTTCGGGGAACGGCAGATCAGGCAGAACTAATGGTGCTGATGTGATTAACTCCTGCAACAACAGCGAACATCTGCCTGGACGCGGGACGTCGGAGGGTTGAAAGGGGAAGCACGGACTTTAAATCCGATGCAGAAATGGATTGTTTTGGGAGGGTTTGACGGGAAATGTATGGATCCGGTGTTGTCATGGAGATAAATGGTTACCCGTTGGTGTTCACACGCTAAATCATTGTGACTCGGTTTCTGTTGAACAGCAGAGTGTGAGGTCATTGCTTACTTCTGCAGAGTGAGGCTGAGGTTGCCCGCGCAGCTCTTGATTTTGTTCTGGGCCTCCAGGTGGTTCATGCCCTCCGTGGCGATGCCGTCGATGGACAGAACCAAGTCGCCCACGGCAATGCCACCTTTAGCTGCTTTTCCACCGTCCGTCAGCTGCAGAAACACAAAAAAACCCACAAAGAGCTTAGCATCACCAGTCGGCATTACCGAAGAGGGCGGGTCAAGGTGGCCCTGTGGTTATCAGAGGATTTATGGATCCATTCTATTACTGAAGTATTTCAGGAAAGTTAATGAAAGAGCAGGTTCTGGAACACATGAAGGAGGTTCTACTGTACGTTCACTGATGCATGTCTAATAGCAGGCGCCTTCATGTTTGAGTTACCTTTGTTTGTACTTTATGGAGTGCTGTCAGACTGGGCGTACAACTTGTTAGAGGAAATAAAGTTCAAACATTCTCAACTTTGAGAAAGAAATAACTAACTGCAAATGCAAAAATGGTAATTTGTTGAAGGTTGTCTAATTAAAATCTAGTAAAAGAACACAATTTTTAGCTGAGAGTGAAAGTTTAATGGTCAAACACATGTTAAACACATTTAATTGCAAAAACAATGAACTGAACGCTGGGTTTTAATTAAAATTATGACTTTCGGATGCAATTAATGTAGCATAATGGAGTCAACATGAAGCATATTGATAATGTGGGGTATTATTTAGAGCAAAACTTAACAGCAATCCCAACAGCAGTAAAACTAAAAAGCTGGTGTTTGTGAAAAAAAAAGAAGCTAATTTTGACACCCTCTTAAGTGTTACTGTACAATAAAGATCAAGCAAAGTGAATTTACTCCCCGTAAAAAGCAATTATGTCATTATTCTCCGTACAAAATGTTGTTTAAAAGGTGACAAATAGATAATGGGACGCTACAGGGTGTGGACACATACCACTTTAATGGGCTTTAAGGAAACATTCATTACAAACTAGACATCTCTCAGCTTACACGCATCATAAAATACACTCCTCTTGTCTCTGGATTTCAGTGTCTTCCAGGATTTTTGAGGTATGTTTTAAATATTTAAACAAAGTTTAATTACCGACTTCCACTCTGGAGGAAGTTGGTTAATCTGAAACAGATTCAAAACACATGAAAAAAAAAAAAAACTCATGCGGAACTCGTGCTGGCTGGTATTAAATACAGGCTCTGCTGTTCAACATGGATCCAATGTATATACAAGCGCTTTGTCAATTCTGCCCTCGTCAGTAATGTTGAATGCAGATTTATAGGAGGAACAGCATTTTCTAAACCCTGTAGCTGCTTTTGTTCTCCATTGATTTGGACACATTTTGTAAACAAGTGTTTGAGGACAGACGCAAGGCAACGAAGCATTTCAATAAATGGGCTTGACTCCACATGAAAATAAGATTAAATTAGACTAAATGTCTGCTTATGTGACACAATGCTGAATGTGGGTTTGTTTCCTGTTTGGTAAAGCATGTGTTTTCTAAGTAGATGTATACTGTGGCAGGTGAGAAAAAATAGACTGATAAGTAATAGTGGCTTCGATGTCATTTCTTATGCATAAAAAACCAAAGAGAAATAATCAATTTTTTTTATTTTGTGCACAGACATTACATATGTGTGTGTTTGTGGTCTAAAGAAAAAAATCATATTAACATGTGAAGAGTTCATTTGCAAAAACAGATTTTCAGAAAACTTCTTTTTGTTGTTGTTTGCTTGAGATAGTATCAAACTGAAGCTGAGTGGATTTGACTCAAATGACATGACAAAAAATGGAGATAAGTTTGATTGATATTGTCTCAGGTAGACGATGGAGCAGTGGGTTTTCTAAAGGTTTGTGAAGATAGAGAACTCTTCCTGTGTTAATGTGGGGTTCTGTTACTGTTTTCATCTCACCGTCACTGCCACAAACAAGGCCATACATTCTATAAGCATGTGTCATGTATGCCAGAGCTCCTCTTATCAGCAGGCTGAGGGAGCGCAGTGACAGATTTGGAAATGTGCGTAGGATGTGTCTCTTGTCTTTTCCCCATGACGCCAGAGCATTTTATAACGTAAAGGTGTCTTTAAAAAAAAAAAAAAAGCTGCGTGCACAATTTTACATAACCATTATTGACTCAAGTGTAAGTGATGCAGTAAACGACTAAATTAGTGTTTGTTTTAACACAACAGGGCTTAAATATCGTCCTCAGGGAGCAGGAAGACTTTGCTGCTTTAGTTGTGACCATTCTTGGTCACACAGAGGGTTCAAGTGTGTCCAAAGTGGACTGAGGTCATTTGTTTCTTTTGACACCATGAAAAAAAGACCACACAGACCACTTTAGTGAACACACACACACACACAAGCACTTCTGTGGTCGCTATGAAGTGTCTCTTACACTTAGTGACAAGTGTAGCTTTTGGACCTTCTTCTACAGGAGAATGTGTGTCTGCTGAATATATAACAACAGTCAAAGGATGTGAGTGTGTAATGTGGGTTTAGACGTCTTTTTGGTCTGTTTCCTTTGCCTCTATCTTTGTCTCACATTCACACACATGCACACACACACACACAGACAGGCACAGGCAGGGCTAATAAAAGAGGCTCTGCACCCGGATTAGTGTTAAGGCTCTGCGGCCCCAACCTTTTATAGTCATATTAGCCCAACACACGCAACATCACTCAGCAGCACTCTCGAGCACATCGAGCATGAAGAAGAGAGTAATGAAGGATCGACATAACATTGATTAAAATTGCGCGGATGGAAAGGAAACGGGGGGAAAGCAAGCGAAAGGAAAAAAAAAATGCTACTGGGTTGAAGGAATCTGTGGGTTTTTCATTCATTTTGACCCATTTCCAGGGGTGTGTTCACGCCAACCACTCGGGCACTATTATGGACCGAACGCTCACCGCAAAATGTTCAATTATATGTTTTCCCCAATTAGTGCTCTGTTCCTGCCCCCCTACCCACATAAATGCTACCTCTCCCTCTCCACATACATGCACCCTAACTTCACAAAGCACCGCTCTGTTTCCCTCTGCATGAAGGCATCCTGCAGTCGTACCGGAGACTTCAAATGATTCGGAAAAATATGTCACACATACAGTGAAGGAAAACATTTTTTAATTGTCTTAACTCCATATGTCTGAAGCCGGTTTCCAAAAGCAAACATTTGTTTTAAATCACGATGATTAAAAAGAATTTGGAACTCAAAGTAGTTTTTAAATTTTCATATCAAAGACTTTGCAACAAATCATTGAGGAAATCAGAAACAGAAATCTAAATAATCTGTCTATGTAACATGCCAAGCACTTCCAAGTTTCCCAGGGTATTTGATTTATGGCTTTGTTGCTTTGCCATGACAGAAAAGCAGCAGTTTTAACCACTGCACACATTCACTGGAAGTCACACACAGAGGACGTACTCGAGCAGCGTGTATGTAGGGACGTCACGAGAACCAATAGTTTGGTTTTAAGTTGATGCCAAAATCTTGAAAACATGATGGGACACTGTTTTTCTATGGTGCTGAACTGCAGATGTTGCACAAGAGTCGAGGATAGAGATATCTGGGTGGCATGATCGGGGACGAGACAACCGAAATCCAGAATGCTAGTGGTGTCACAGAGCATTTTAAACAAAAGGAAGACACATCTGAAACTTATCTAGTAACGATTAAGACAAAAATTCACATGTGTATGGTGAAAAGGTTTCACTTATGACTAAAGATTGTGCTGTCAACTGTAAGAGCTACATCTGTTGTAGAAATGCTCCAAACAAAAGCCAAACATTGTCTTGTTTGGGCAAATGTAGCGCTAGTTCATAACGAGAGCTAAGTGCTGCTTAATATTAGCAGGTGGATGTCTTTCTCATTCAGTTTGTCAACATATCTGACTGTATGGATGTAAACGGTTAATCAAAAAGTTCCAAGATTGTTCACAAGTTGCTTGTGTTAGATGTGCGAGTCGTAACTGTCATAAGTCTGAATGTCACGTGATCTACAGCAGGATTTGTGTTGAACATATTTTTAGAGATTATGTCAAGCACCATCTGCGATAAGCCTGAAACTCTTAAACTGTGTCAACATGGTGAACCTTCAACTTGAATTTCATATTAGAGAGGAGGAAGAAGTCAAATCTGGTGAATAGGGTGGATGGGAAGGGACCATTGTATTGTTGTGACTGAAAACCCACTTCGCCACAATTGAGGAGATTTGCACCAAATGTTCTTTGTCGGACACCTCAGGATGTTATACAAGAACTCTGCCTCGACAGTGCAGCCCAGGTGGATTGCTTCCTGCTACAAAACCACTTGAATGTTGAAGAAAAACGAGTATGCTCCTCCTGGTGCACTCTTGACCTTGAACACTGCTGTTCCTTCTCTTGGTGGGAGCTGCAGACCCACCTCTCATCACCATAATGATCCTGCCCATGATGCTTTGCTCATCCTAGCTGCTGACTGACACACATTTTCTTCTCTGCTTCAGTTTGTGATGCATGAAGAAACTACAATTTCACACATGGTGTCATATGATCATGAATCATGAGAGCTACTACTTGCACCACGCACACTCCTGGAACTTTGAAACTATTTGACTGTTTATTTTTTGGGAACAGTTCTGAGAATTGTGGAAATTCAGTGGTATTGGTAAATAAATTAAAACAAATCAATGCTTAACTAAACGTCTATCAATGCTTGTCTCTGCTTTTGATATTAACATCCCTGATCTTGAGCACACACTACCCTTGAGTAAAAATTCTGCTACCTTATTATGTATTCATGCAAAAGTGAAAGGGTCAACACTTGTGTCATCACTTACACAAAAGAATGAGAAACACACATGCGGTGTATCAAAGCTTCTTTCACAGATGAACTTGCCATTATGCTTCCAGCCATGTCAGATTTCAACACATATGCTGTCTGATTTAAGCGCTTTGAGAGAAACAAAAATGGTTTCAACACATAGCAATAAAGGCGCGCTGGAGTGCTGCAGCATTGTCTGGTTTGAACATACACCGACCTGTTTGAGTGCTTTGAACAATGGCTGCTTTCAGCACTCGGAAGGGACAGAGATGACAGGCAGATGGTTCACATCACACTGTGATTGACACGCCGAGAGCTGGAGACACAAATACCTTGTAACTCAAACGTACACAAAAGT